TTATTTTTTAGAATTTTAAAATTTTATGTTTTATTTTATTTTTATTTATTTTGTGTGTATGAATCTCCTGCATGTGTGTAAGTGCACTTGTGTCCTGCAATGCCCATGGAGGTCAGAAGAGAGCACTGAATTCCCCTGGAACTGGAGTTAAAGATGGTTGTTAGCCACCATGTGGGTGCTGGGAATCGAACTTGGGTCCTCAGGAAGAGCAGCTAGTGCTCTTAACTGCTGAGCCATCTCTCCAACCCCTAAATATTTATTTTTATGTGATGTGTATGAGTGTTTTGCGAGCACATAGGTAGGTTCACCACACGCATGCAATGCTCACAGAGGCCAGAAGAGGGCACCAGATCTCCCAGAACTAGAGTTACAATCAGTTCTTAGTTACTATGTGGGTGCTGGAACCAAACCTGGGTCCACTACAAGGGCAGTAAATACTCTTAAACACTAAGCCATCTCTCCATCCCTCATTTTTTTTCCATCTTTTTGAGACAGGGGCTCCCTGTAGCTCCAGCTGGCCTGATTAGTTACTATGTGGGTGCTGGAACCAAACCTGGGTCCACTACAAGGGCAGCAAATACTCTTAAACACTAAGCCATCTCTCCATCCCTCACTTTTTTTTCCATCTTTTTGAGACAGGGGCTCCCTGTAGCTCCAGCTGGCCTGGAACCCACTATGTAGACCAGGCTGGCCTTGAAATCACAGAGATCCACCTGCCTCTGTCTCCCGAGTGCTTGGATTAAAGTCATGTGCCACCATGGCTGGCTTATCCCTAATTTCTTTTTTAATTACAGTTTTTCATTTAGTGTGCATGTGCACACATGCACACACACACACACACACACGCGCGCACACACACACACACGCACACTAACATACCACAATACATATGTGGAGGTCAGAGGACAATTTTGGGGAGTCATTTCTTTCCTCACCATGTGGGTCCCAGGCATTGAATCCAGGTCATCAGGCTTTACCCACTGAACCACCTTGCCAGCCAAAGAATTTCTGTTTTAAGTCACTAAATTTTAGGATGACTTGTTACACAGAAAACAGCTCATTGATATGGTGAAAATAGATGTGGATGGAGTTGTTTCATATAAGAGTAGGGTTAAGAGGCTGGAAAGATGGCTCAGTGGTTAAGAGCACTGGCTGCTCTTCCAGAGGACACTGGTTCAGTTCCCAGCATCCACATGATGGCTAACAACTGCAGTTACTGCAGTTCCAGTGAATCTAATACCTCTTCTGACCTCTGTGGGCATTGCATGCTGTGGTGCACTTAACACACATGAAGGCAAAACACTCATACACATAAAAATAAAATAAATAAATAAATAAGAATATTTAATTCTGATTTTTGAGGCATAATATAAGGTTAG